TCAGGCGAATAAACATATTGTCCCAGCGATCGAGTCTTCTTCTTCTCAAGGTAAGTTCATTCAATACATTCTTGACGCTACACATCTCAAGTCTGACAACGACCTGGGGATCCAGCGTCAACAATTTACTCAAATAAAATTGTTCCGTTTCCCCAAGAACGTCTTTCCTCCAAACTAATAAATATTCCCAAAAAAAATATTTTCAAATATTCGAGTACTCGTGGTCAATGCAAGTTTGACCCAAATTGCCAGTTGATTAAAAGTTTGGCAAGTGGTCCAACTAGAATTTAAGAATAAGTCAGTCTGAGGACAGACACTATCCTGGAAAGGGCCCAGTAATGGTTTGCGCATGAACTGGCTCACGATGCACTGGCCGTCAGAACTTCTGCGCCTCATGCCCAGCACATTTTATCAAAAAGCGGAGTGCAGATGAGAATAGGGTGTGGGCGCGATGCTGACGAAGTTGAACTAACGTTCGTGCATGCCATATGCGTAATACTTCAGCGAGCCAGTTTTCAAGAAGGCGAGAGATCCTGAACCCGTCTCGAAAAGAGACTACCGGTAAAGGATAAATTAAGAAGGAAGCATTGCAGGCTGACCCTCGGCCAGGAAGTGGATCGAGCTAGCTTCAGTTGTTAACGTTTCACGTCCGATCGTTCTCTACTACTACTACTACTACTTATGCGACTACTACTCCTACTACCCCTAATACTGAGTAGTAAAAGCAACGGACGCGAAACAGTCACGTAATATGTGCAACGGAATCGAAGTGAACATTGTCCAAAGCCTCGAGCGAAAGACTTGGTTCAGATTCTGACATCCTGGAATAGATTACATGTTAAAAATCGGCAGCAAAATCATATTTAAAAAGTAATTTATTATAGAACCCACATTGCCCCTGCGTTCCCATATAAAAACATGACGGTAACAACCGACTATCCAACTGAATTTTCAAGATACACATATATTTATTTGATTTAGGTAGACAGGTCGTATTCCTATTACGGATGCCGTTAAGCTGAAACAAGAAGTTTATTTGCCTGCCATTTCAAATTCCAGCACGAACCCATCTTCAGAGACAACATCGGATAAGGGTAATTCGCACACAGGGAGTTTCAGTATTTATAAAATGCCAGGTTACTACATGCTTAAGACAATTAACGGTCCCCTTAATGGGCGCTAATTGCCCCTCTTGCGCTCAATGCATCCAAGTCGTTAACTGCTGAAATTTCGTTACGTGTATTGGATTTTGGCGTGATAATGGCTCGGCTACCTGGGTTAACGGCAATGACTTTAGATATTTCTTTCGCCTGCGCGTCCCTCAGAGTGGAGGATTACTTTGGACAAACTCCGCCTCAGCAACGAATAAGGGTTGGGCAGTTCGTTGCGCTTTGAAGTAGACTAGAGACCTGTAGACTATAAAACGAATAACTAGTAGCTTACGCCTCAGTCACCTCTGGCGAGAATTTTGGCCTCAACAAATTTGAATGTGTGGACGCAATTTGAGAATAGACATCATTTCTCCGCGTGTCCGGCGTTTTGCGTCCGGAGCAGTCTTCCAGTTTCTCTGATGTATATGCTTTGTTCGCAACTGTAGTAGATCCGATAAACAACTCCATTTTTCTTGGCGTGGCAGTTGGTCCTTTGATTTAATTACCGCACGGCTAATGGAAGCTGGTATCATAGGTTTTCAGTACCCTAACAATGGAAGCCTATAAATATTGCAACTCCCTGTCTACTATGTACTCTTATCTGATGCTGTCTCTGAAAATGGGGTCGAGCTGGAATCCGAAACGTCGAATAAAGATAGCGTCTACTTGTATTTTATCAAACTAACAGCCTAGGTAGTAGCTAAAAGGCCCAGACACGTGTTTAGCCGGTATTATGCAACTGCTTGACACAGCTGAGGGGTCTGGCTCATCAGTGGGCCCCCAGCTTTCCCTGTCTGCTTTCTGGTTGATTTATCGGTTTTGAAAGTTCAGCTTTTTAATCTTCTGAGAAATTTCTTTTAGCGGTATATACTTAAGTCTGCCTGTTGACAGCAAGTGCATATTTCGCAGGGGCGACGGGTTTCAACCCAAATATACAGTTACAGTTTCAGTCCACGCCTATAAACCTTAAATATACTGATGTATACCGCGAACAGAAATTAATTTCTCAGGAGATTAAAAAGCTGAATAGCGTCTACTTTTTCTCAGACCATAAGCGTTATGTATACCTTGCAGCGGTACACTGGTGACCGAATCGACGAGGCGATGACGCAGGCACGTATAACCTTGTGCATGACTTGGCTTGAAGCGACCGTCTTGTGCACCATTGCTCCCTCACGTTTCGACGTCTTAGAGGAGTTCGAGATAGTCGCAAACGCGCTGAAGGCGCCCTCGTCTAAGTCCATTTTCAGGTTCTCGAGAAGTTCCAAACAGTACTCTGCGTATACCTGATCCGCGTTCAGTTTGTTGTTCTGTATAAACAGGAAATAAAAATATGATGAGCTGACAGCATAAAAGTAAACTCTCTGTTCGGGCTTGTTCGGTATGCTATCGGCAATCAGACATACTACAAAGAAAATACCTTCAAGTGGGAGTAGAATTATCTTGACTGTCGCCATAAGCGAAAAGGTAAGGTTTGGTAAGCAGATGAGAAGGAGATACGATTGTTGGAATGGAAAAAATATTGGCTGTCTGCACGCTTATGTCGGATTGCTACACATGGTGCGATAACGGCCATTAAACGCCAGGTTTCAGCGATCATATCTTCGTCTGAACAGCTTCCTGGAACCCGTCCGTTCGCTTTTAACAGTAACAGCTTCACTGCACTCAACCGAAAGAGAAATTTCGGTGGGAAATTGTCAGCATCTATACATTTTTTCTCACGGCGACCTAATTTAACTCGGCTGGCATCAATGCAGGTTTAGCCAACGCCAGAGTCAATGGCACAAGACTCTCGTGTTTCTGCCGATTGGCCGGAGCCTTGTATAAAAATGACATTCTTTGGTGGGTCCAGCCTACGGATAGGGTCCTATCTTTGTAAAGCGATGGTGGCAACATGAGCTTTCTTTTAATGCTCATTCCTTATACCAGAGTTACCACCGCAACCAGCCTTTAATGAAGCGTTAGGCCAACAGGCCGTTACTATCGCCCCGGTGTAGCAAACAAAGACTATTTAGCTGGCATAAACGTCAAATGCTCGTTTGATGCAAGATAAAAACGGTCTACTTCCTCAACTCTAGAGAGTAAGTGGCATAAGAATTAAGTCAGTAATGCAGTAAATGCCGAAAAAAGGGGCATGTATGGTGACTAATGGTCGAAATCGAATGGCTTACCTTGATGTAGGCCTCAATACGCGGAGGAATATTGGTGCCGGCGCCAGAAGAAAGAGTCACATCAAGCATCTTGAAGACAATGTTTTTGGGACTCCATTTCCGGCAATCGCTCAGAGGAAGTCGAAACTGATACCTTAGAAACAGCATGCATTATGCGATAATTGGAAGCTGGAAGAGACAACTGCAATTCTAATAATATTATTATGACCTAGGGTGAAGTATGGTGCGAGAAACTGATGGCTTACATGGCAAGCAGACTCTTTATGTGTTCCAGATCACAGAGTAGTGAACGCAGCTCAGCAAACGGATCCACACCAAAGGTACGACTGCAGAGACCCGAACAGTAGTTGCGAACTTCCTCACTGGGCGTCAGCAGAGGAAAGTAATGGTCATCGGCTTTAGACTGGACGGAATCCAGAGTGACCTTAGGGACCGCTGTAAGAAGACCGCGAATCCAGGAGATGGCTGTGCTCGGCCACTGGAAGGGACATTGAGTCTTTCCGGGCTCACAGTCGCTTTGATGCTGACAGACCTGCTCTAGCATTTGCACCCGATTGATCAGCCAAGTAGCGATAGCACCCTGAAACATAACAGGAAAAATTGTGAGGGGGGCATTAAGACAGGGCAGAGCACTCTGTGGACTGGAGAAGGATAGAAAATGTGACTAAGCATTTTGTCCCCACCCCCTCACTTGACGTGTATCTTACACGA